AAGAAACTAGATATTAATATTTTAAAATATAGGTCAAGGTTATTTTAACTGATGGCTGAATCCTAACACTCCGCTTCTACTACCACCATGAAACTGTGTTTAAGCTTTGTTCAGACCATTTGCTGTGTCTTCAGTTATATTATTCTTTCTCCCTCTCTGTTATTTCTCCCTTTCTCTTTTTCCTTTTTCTTTATCTTTTACTTTTTTCTTTTTTTCTTTCTCTTTTACTTTTTCATCTTACTCTTTCTCGTTCTTTCTTGATTCTTTAAAGTTTAAGATTTTTAAGCTACCTTTTTATTTTATTTCCCAATCCCCTGGTGTTGACAAATCCTGCAAAGTAGTCCTTGTGGGGTTGAAATAGCTATACAAATGGGGTATTTTTGAATTTCTCTCATATATAATTTATTTATTTATACATGCTCTGTTATAATAAATACATTGAGCTCTTTTTGTGGATCAGTTTTAATATTTTATATTATTAGAATTCACTTGGATTATTTACCTACGGATTTCTCTCTCTCTCTCTCTCTCTCTCTCTCTATATATATATATATATATATTAAGACATTTTTATGTTTATACATTCTTTTTATAGATACAAATATTTAAGTAAATGGTCTGTTTATAATAAACAGTATTAAACAACATTTACCGGCCTGAATGTCCGAGAAATTTTCACAGAAAATATTCGTCCTCCGACAGGATTCGAACCTGTATCCTATATGGAACCGTCACAGAGCCTGACGTGCTTTTACAGATTTCGCCACAGAGGAGCGTTCGGTTAGCAATATTTGTATCTATAAAAAAAAAAGAATGTATAAACATAAAAATATCTTAAAATAATTGTCGGACTTTGTCCATTTCATAATATATATATATATATATATATATATATATATATATATTATGGAATATTAGTGTTTAAGCCTTTTTATTATATCCTTACTCTGTCCTAGACATTGAGTTCTACCTGGATTCTTCCTCTTGGAAAATTTTTTCTGAAAATATACATGTATGGGAAATTTTTTTTTTTTTTTTTATATATATATATTTTGCATATGTATGTATATTTTCCACTAATATTATATATATATATATATATATATACATTTGTCACCAAGCAATGCAATAAAGCCACTAGTATGCAATGCATTACTGTTAGAGAATATGAGAAAAAGTACTATTAAGGAGAGGTGACAATAAAAAAAAACAGGTACTAAGAAAACAGACGATAACGATTGACGCTGCATTTAAATTTTTGAAGATCAAAGTTAACTGGTAAGCAAGAAGCCGGAAGAGAGTTCCACAAGTAATAGAAGAAAGTGTTAGCATAGAACTTACAATTAAAATAGCCATTTCATCTGTAAAATGATGAGACTTTGTCACCAATCTAGTACTGCCCCTAAAGTATAGGTACCATAACAAACAGTACATTAGAATAATTACCATGAAAGAATTAATAGAAAAGGTACAGGGAAGTTACGTTGCAGCTGTGGAAAAAAGGGACTGAGGCCGAGATGCCAGGTCAGGGCCAATAACGTTGCATATTCTTTTTATGATTTTATCAAGAATCTCTAGAAATATAACATGAGCACCAAACAGATGTGGCAGCAATATTCAAAGCAAGAACGAATGGTAGACATAAATATATAAAATAGATTCTGGCGAGAAAAAATGGTTTTCTTGGCTGCAGACTTAGCAGTTGATTCAATATGCTATTTCCAATGCATGACAGCTGAAAACTTTAGTCAAAGAAAGTGCAATGAGTCACTTTCCTGGGGTTAGCATTCAGCCATGCTGTTCGAAGGTAAAAAAGGTTCCCTCAAATGATTAAAAGAGAGCAGTTTTGTGAGGAACGAGAAGACCCACCTCCCGTAAAGCGAGCGAATTTGCTTGGCGTGTCAGGTCTTGTTGAAAGATCGCGACCGCCATTAAAAGTGAAATGGATTATTCCGAAATTCCTATCTCGCGGGCAGACGTACAATGAAAAAGACTAAGAATTCAAACCAGTTTGAATTTATAAAAGAATTAAGTCTCGTATGCAAATAACAGTCCCCCCCGATGCAGGCATAAATAGCGAGTCTGTGAGGGTGATCGGGAGAACTTTAGTTGGCGTGATGTCGTACGGACAGACGAACGAGAACGAGAACGGGAGAAGAAGGAAGGGGTCAGTCGCTTGAAAGCAAGCACCTTAATCCATTTCGGTTATCGCAAACGTTTGGCGAACTACATTAACCACAAGTTTAGTTTTTGAGGCGTTAAAATCAACAAGCCACTCTTTGCTTCATTTAACAACAGATTGTAGGTCATTTTTGAGATCAGACGTCAATTTAACTTTATCGAACCACCCAGATTTACTCTTAAAGACAGGAGTAAATAACTGTGTCATCAACATAGATACTGAGTTGAGAACTGATGCCATTATGAAGGTCATATATGAAAATTAGAAACAACGTTGGTCCAAGGAGAGAGCCCTGGGAAACAGCCGCATTTATGCAAAAAGACCTAGAAGAGTAGCCGTTCAAGACAACTTTCATTTCACGATTTGATAAGAAAGACTGAATCAGTTCATTATTTGTCCAGAAATACCATAACCTTTCAACTGGTGAAGAAAACCAATATGCCAAACCCTGTCAAATACCTTCGGGATATCTAAAGCAACGGCCCCAGCTACACCATTTTTTATCTAAAGCTTGATAGACTGTTGCAGCAATAACCGTTAATACATCAGCAGTTGACCTAGAGAAGCAAAAGCTATATTGCGTATCTGAAAGAAAACCTAGTGATGTAAGATGATTAACCAATTCAGAGTTAATTAGAGCGTCTAGAACGTTGCCAAAAAGAGGTCGAAGGATATATATATATATATATATATATAAAGTTTGTGTGAGTGTGCCTCTGTGTGTGTAGTCGCACATGAACGTAAATACCACTTTTGCCTGATGACGGACGAAACGCGTCACACGAACTTTGCCATAGATAATCATAAACGTGTTTTTGGCATATAAAAATGTATGAAATGGACAAAGTCCGACAATTATTTTAAGACATTTTTATGTTTATACATTCTTTTTTTTATAGATACAACTATTTAAGTAAATGCTCTGTTTATAATAAACAGTATTAACAACATTTACTGGCCTGAATGTCCGAGAAATTGTCATAGAACATATGCGTCCCCCGACAGGAATCGAACCTGTATCCTATACGGAACTGTCATATAGCCTGACGTGCTTTTACCGATTTCGCCACAGAGGATCAGTCGGTTAGCACTGTCGATTTTACTGTTTTTAAACTACAATTTTCCACAATTCTCTCAAGTATATTTAAGTAAATGCTCTGTTTATAATAAACAGTATTAATAACATTTACCGGCCTGAATGTCCGAGAAATTTTCATTTCCGACAGCAATCGAACCTGTACCCTATACGGAACCGTCATATAAAACGACGTGCCTTAACCGATTGGACCACAGAGGATCGTTTGGTTAGCAAGGTCGATTTTACTTTTCTTAAACGACAATTTTCCACGATTCTCTCACGTACATTCATATCTGCCCAATGCGTATCCAAATGTAAACAAATGACGTCACACATTATGAAATGGACAAAGTCCGACTATTATTTTAAGACATTTTTATGTTTATACATTCTTTTTTTTTTATAGATACAAATATTTAAGCAAATGCTCTGTTTATAATAAACATTATATAAAATATATAATTGTCGAGATAGATAAAGAGACCGAGATAGATAGATAGATAGATAGATAGATAGATAGATAGATAGATGTGTTTGTGTGAGTAATGTAACAGTTATCGATGCTCAAATCCTAATCAATTCTGTTTTGTTCACTTCGCTCTCATGGTAAAATCGCTTTCTGAAGTCCAGTAACTGTTATCACTCTTTCCACCATTGATAGATATTTCCTTCCTAACCTTTTTTTTAAGTAGTGTGGAATGTCAACATGGGTTTAAACTAGTAATAAACTAGTCTTAATAATGGAAATGCTCCATCGAAATTTACGAAAAAATGTTTACCATTCCGAAGGAAAAGTTAAAAGTATTTTAAAAAGGTGTTGAAGCCAACCATTACTCTTAATAGAATCCTTTCCACAATTCCAATCATTCTTTATATAATAAAAAAATTCCAAACAGTTCTTTTTCCTCAAAGAATATTTGTTTGGTTACTTCATTTTCTACGGTTTATCAACCATTTTCAGGTTATTTAAAGTCGGAAAATATTTTTAGATTGTAAGAATTTTTTGAGATAACAATGGTTTGGGTGATACGACTCTTACTAATTAACCCATAGCTGGGGGAGAAGAGGTGGATTCTTATCTGATTCGAATTTAATAAACAAAAAAGAAATGATAACCTGGATATAAAGTGGGGAATCAATTCTGTATTATATAAACGGATACCCCACTTTGTGACCACAGTAGTTTCTATACATTTATATTTCAGTGAATGTAAAAATGAAAAATATTCTCACTATTACTAAGATATCACTTTGCTACGACTGCGAACCAAAGTTTTACTAATTAACCCATAGCTGGAGGAGAAGAAGAGATCTATAGCTTTCTCGAGGTTATTTGCTCGTAAGTGAATATAACGAACCCAACAGGAATTGGAACTCGGCTCTCCGATTAACAGGCGTTATTCATTATATCCCTCGCGCATCCAAGCTTACAGTATCTGGTATTCCTAAACGGTCACCCAACTAGGTACTGACCAAGCTCCACGTTGCTTAACTTTGGTGATGCTATGAGAACAGGTGCTGTTAAAAATGGAAAATATTCTCTTTTGCTAAGATATCACTTGCTACTACTGCGAACCAAAGTCTTACTAATTAACCCATAGTTCGGGAGTCAGAAGAGTTGAATTCATACTTTCCTCAAAGATATTTGCGAGTAAGTGAATATAACGACCCAAACGGGTCTTTTGAACCCGGCTCTCCGATTAACAATTACTAATTCATTACGCCACCCGCACACCCAAGCTTACAGCACCTGGCATTCCCAACATGTCACCCATCTAGGTACTGACCAAGCTCGATTTTGCTTAACTTCGGTGATCGTATGAGAACCGGTCATGTTAAATATGAAAAATATTCTCACTATTGCTAAGATATCACTTGTTACCAATGCAAACCAAAGTCCTACTAATTAACCCATAGTTCGGGAGTCAGAAGAGGTGGATACATAACTTTCCTGGGGCTATTTGCACGTAACAAACCCAACGGGAATTTGAACTTGGCTCTCCAATTAACAGATGTTATCCATTACACCAATCGCGCATCCAAGCTTAAAGCACTGGGTATTCCCAACCGGTCAATCATTTCGGTACGGACCAGGCACGACGTTGCTTAACTTCAGTGATCGTACGGGAATCGGTGTTTCAATGTGATATGTTCGTTAGCCCCGCTAAGAATAGTTTCTTTCGCTTGTCCATTAGTTTTCTGACAGTTTCAACGTCATTCATTTTCAGAAGCATTTTACATAAACATTTTCACTGAAAAGGCATAAAAACCAACAAGCATCTCCCGTCGACACCAAACACTAACAGCTGTCTGTAGTTAGAAGGGGGAATCTTTAGATATTGGGGACAAGGTTGGTATGGCATCCTCAGTGCGTTCTTTTGGGGCCCGTTTTTTAAAGCACGATGGGGCCAAAAATTCAATTATAGGCAAAAACAACAACAATAACATGTAGAAACCTGAAACAAAAGAAAGTAAAAAAAAAAAACAGTAATAAAGAATTTTGGATGCTACTATATCCACCAAGGTATTTTGCGACCTACCGTAAATGACGATTCACTCATTATTGCTGGAAAATGTTCAAGAAAAACGATGACCTGTTTACTTTTTTTTTTAAATGACATCAATTCAGTTTACAAATATTTAAATCGCTATTTGATGATTGTTAAAAACAATTTTTGTATAAAAAAATGTTAATGGTTTTTAATACATAACAAGTACACTGTTCACTGCTTTAAACCTGATCCTAACTCCTAACCCTGACCCTAACTCCTAACCCTGACCCTAACCCTAACTCCTAACCCTGACCCTAACCCTAACTCCTAATCCTAACCTAACTCCTAACCCTGACCCTGACTCCTAACCCTGACACCTAACCCTAACTCCTAATCTTAACTCCTAACCCTGACCCTAAGATTGTTTTATTGAGCAATTAAAAAAAAAAGACTGTAGAAATGTTTGTGTAAGTAGATACACTAAGGCAGTTGTTGCGATATCGGTTCCTAGTGGGTGTGGGGATACAGAATCATTAGTTTGGGTTTATTAAGGAAACTCTAATGTAATGTTTGGCGATCTGACATAAAAGTTTTCATTGTAGACATTTTACCAATTGCTTCTGCCGGAGTTAGCTCCTCCTTAATTCCCTAATTGTTCACTAGGGGGCGCTCTCCCTACACTATAAATACCGGGCGACTTCTTGCCTCGTTCTCTTTTTTATTTCTTCATTTCAGCGAACACATCTACAATGTAAGCTCTCGTAAAAGATAAGCATCTTCCCATTTGTGGGAGACGCCATAAACATTATACACACATACACGTACATACGAACATTCACCAAAATAAAAACTCTTTACGTTCACACACAAACACAAATGTTAATGTCATTGTCACTTTTAAATTTGGTGTTTAATACATATATTTGTTGACATATATATATCGGTCTTGTTTGTTTTCTTTACATCTCCGGTTGGACTCAACTTCAGTCCGCCATGTTCTTGTAGTTGGACCTTCTTCTAGCAGGAAATAAACAGCATGCGTTTCTAATCCAATAACACTTAACCCACCGGGTCCTATACGGGTTATTTACACATGAGATCAATATTTGTTTCAGCAGTTCAGGAATAGGTTGCAAGAACTGGTTGGTGGTTTGTAAAGGGCGCGAACAAGGAAAAAGGTTAAGAATCACTGCCATAAAAGGAATTTCAGGAATACTCCAATTAACGACTCCTGATAAAGGGTGTGGCTTCAGAAAGAGACTTCTTCGAATGAGATTAAATATGTGCGCAGTTTTCTTTTTATAACACTAGTCCCGGTAATTTTTGATCAGATCAATGTTATTATATTTTTTTATTTAGACGTTATTCTTATAGATACACATTTTCAGAAAGGAATTTGAATTATATGAAAGTATGCGTTAATTGTTGCTGGGTTAGTTTATAAAGTATTAAAGAAAGTTGATAATGCAAGTAATCATAGTACCCCATCTCAGTAATATAGATAGATAACGAATAAAACTTTAATTTTTTAGAAATTTCTTTGCATTTCGGATACGAAACTGTAGAGTTATGACTTTCGAGCTAATCCGAACGAGTGAATGTGATCTAAAGGCAAGCAAAATCGTGCTTGATTGCGAAGTATAGCTTAGATGTGGTTTGGTTTGATTTGTTCAACATCCTTATAGGTTATTTAATACCGAAATTTGCTTAGGTAATTTTTTTCCTAGTAATAATGTATTGTTGGTAATTTATTTATTTATTTTTTTTTTTACTTTGAAAATATATTGCTGGTATCTTTTTTTTCTAATGTATTTTTATATTTTCATGTTCCGGATATGAAAGTGAGCAGGCATGAAGCTTTTGAGAATATAAACTTAGTGAAGAGGACGTGTTTTTCCTTAAAAAAGGAAAATAGTACCTTGTTTATTGTGACTTCTTCGTGAGCGGTAAACGCATTTTCTTTACTTAGATTTTTTTGAATGCGTAGGCCGATAGACGCAATACGCTGTTTAATAAATAAAAATGCTTCATCCATTTCAAATACGAAGTATCCACCATGATAACGTTTGAAGTAAGGAAATATATTGGATTAAAAATATATGCATTAATTCTTTAGAAGTGGATATATATATATATATATATATATATATATATATATATATA